TCCTTTCGAATGGATGTAAATAGCATGGTTTATGCCGCAAACGAAGATGTAGCTATTCAAAAAGTATGTTAAGGACGCAATTTGGCGTGTTCAAAAGTTTGGTGTGCAAATTTGTACTTTTGACAGAGTTTTTGATCTGACAGCTCACGTGACAGCTCACGTGAGCATTTTTCTTAACTGTTCCATGGTTACCGCTGCATAAAATTGATAATCCGGTAGTGCAGGTTGTCGCAATGTTTCGCTAGTTACCGGCGAATTTGTGAATAATGAGGCCGCATGTTTGCAAGGAAGATCTGATAAGGTCTTCCTTGTCTAAGGTCAGCTGAGAAACGAGACTAAGGTCCGCTGAGAAACAGTCTGCAGTGAACAACATACACTCCATGTGTAATGTGTACACTGAAAACCAAAATGATTCTCCTGATGCCCTGGTCATGGGCATTTATACCCGCATGATTCCCTTTTGATCCTTAGATTATACCCATTTTTTCATTCCCTTCGATTATGCGGGCATCACAGAGGGATCCGAGTCCCCAAATATGTCCGTAATACTCCCATATTATACCAGTGGCGCTGATCCTCTCAATAGAACGTAAATATCACCCGATTAGAACTGTAATACTCTCCAATGATTCTTAGCTACGAGAATCATTGAAGAATCAATACTGTCTCGCGATTCCCATTTGACTCTCTCATGATTCTCCAATGATGTCACTATGATTCCCGGAAAGGGCATAACTGCCATTTTCTCGCCGCCATGACAGTTTATAACTGTGAGGTGGAGTTGACTGCGTTTCGGGGCCTGCATTTTTGGGCATTTAAGTGTGTTTTTAGGTCTGTGACTTTCGCAAGCGAAGTATTTGTTCCTATTGCACTCTTTGATATTTCTGACACAGTGTAAAGGCAATATTTTCCTAAGAAACACAAACAAAATCCATCTTTATGCCATGGATGGACTGAGAGAGAGAAAGAGAGAGGTTGAGCTCATCGCTGGGAAACCTTCACCAGGTTTGGACGACCAGCCTAGGTGACTTATGAGGACAATCTGTGAAAATACATCTCGCAGTCGAGGTAAGGACGAACTGCAGCAGATTTATAATATGTTTTTGGAAAAGTGTTTTTATTCTGTATTCTCTTTTTTTACCGCGCCGTGCTGGTGGTCTGAATTTCCCTTGTCGTGCTGGGGAGTGGGGGGGGGGGGTGCGTTTTCACCCCCCCCGTCTAATTCGCCTCCTGGGCCACGTAGCGACACGCGGTAAGCGGCATTCAAAAAAGCGTAAAAAATATGAAAATACTTCGGTCATTTTTAGGTCAGGTAACCAGAGGTCATCAATGTCAAATTTTATATTTCAACAATTTTCGAAACACCCAGCGCATAACTCGGGAACCAATAGAGCTACAGCGCCGGGGAAGATCGCATTCGATACCTCTTTACAGGCCTATCTGAGGAATGTTCTCAGATTTAACCTCAGATCAACGGATTAGCCTCCAGAGGGCAAAACTCCAAAAATAGCCGTATTTACGAAAAAACAAGTTTTTCGGTAATTACTTTTGACTCAAATAAGTCACGACATCATTTTACCAGCATCGTTTTCCTCTCGTCGAGAAGCGTCGAATGAACTATAAGTTGACCTGGAAAGGTCATTTTGAAAATTTGACCTCAGGTCAAGGTCATGACCTGACCGGAAAGTCATGGTGCATATCAGTCGATCCGTATCGTCGAGCTGAACAAATCTGACATGTTTTCACCGCTCTAGCACGTCTCTATCAAAAGCTATATCTACTAAAAATGCTGGTGACCTTTAATGACCTGATATGACCTCAGGGGTGCAGAGAGGGGTCATGTGTACAATTTGCAGATTCAGTGTGTCATATTTACTTACAAACCGATGTTTGTGAGTGTTTAGAACGACATTCGTTCACAGGGGCGCGGGAACTACTTTCAGACTGGGGGGGGGGGGGGGGCACACCATAATAGAGATCAACCTAGGGTACCCCCAAATCTAGTTTTCTCACCGGTTTTATGCCACTTATTTTTCATTTCTTGGCTTTTTCACCAAAAAAGAAAACATTTGCAAAAAAAGTGTGATATTCCGTCTCAAAGCTGTGGGGGCACCGCCCCCACGGCCCCAGAATTGGGGGGGGGGGCAAGCTTCCCCCCTGCCCCCCGGCTCGGCAGGGGTGTGTCATAATAAGGTGTGTGTCATGTTGAGTTACGATACTCATTGTTCTCGTTCAGTCAGCGGTGTCCGATCCCGTTCGGTGAATTTCGTTTCACGTGAAAGCCGCACATTGACTGGTTTTTGAGCCCATGGGGACATGATTTGGAATAGAAAACAATCATGAATAAAATCAATTGAAAAGAAATTGCCTGCTCTTTCCGATGCTGCCTGGCGCGAAGTCATCCGACCTACCAGTCGCGAGTAATGTAGATTTTAAGTTAGGGGTGACACTTTTTTTCGATCACCCTGTATAAACATCTTTAAGAAAAAGCATGAACTTTAAGGAAACGGTTTATGCTGGTCTAATCCCTATTTACCGGCTTTGCAAATATCGTCAATAGAAATGTTTTTCTTTTTGTTCACGGAGCCACTGAATGCACAAAATGTATTGAATGCATAAATTATAAAGGCATATCAAGTATAATTTATTTTTGTTTAGCTTCAAAATTATGTTTTGTTAAGTGTGGTAAATGGTGGTCCATGTAAATCTAAATTATTATACATCTATCCGCTTTTATACACCATAAATGTAACCGACAAGGTGTACTATTATAGTAGCCAGTAGGTACTAGTGTATCGTAGTAATTTTGGCCCTAATCTGGTCAACCCTTACATGCACCGGGTCCGGATAAATTATTACTTACGCCCAATTGATAGATAATAAAGCTCAAACGCTTATGGGATGAAGTTACCTGGAATCGTCTTCGAAATATCTGCAAGGCATAGGTATTAGGTAAACTAGAAAAGTAATACTTCTGCATTTCAACCAGCCAAATGCGTCTGTCGATGAACCGATTAGCAAAAATCTGTCAGCGTGAATTCCGCTTGAACAAACCACAATGGAAAACATATTTTGTGCTGGTTTGCCCAATGAGTCTGCGTTGTTCGCCCGTCACAATGGTGTCTGAATGCACATACGGTGCACACTGCACGCGAAACGTGTGCACGTTGTGCACTCACCGGCCCTTCACAAGCACAGCCCGTGCGTGACGGTCAGTCACTCGGACAGTGCACGTGCATGACATGTGCACGGGTTCACCAGACGCATAACACGGCCGCTGGCGGCGGCGTGCGCCTGTTGCCGCGAGGCCCAACCGTGCGCAGTGGCTGGACAGGTTTCGCTCGGCTGCGCGGCGCGACGGTGCCCCGTGTGTCGGCTCGGGATTTTCGAGGGGGTTATTGAGAGTGGCCGCGGGCGGTCCTCATGGCGACGCCGCTCGCCTCGGGGGGCTGCCGGTCCGGTTCGGTCCTGGTCCCGGTCCCGGTCCCGGTCCGCCCTCCACGGGTGTCCCGGGGACAGGCTGCTTGTCCCGAGGGCTCTGTGTTAGACACAGCGTGATACCGCGCCGGCCGCGGCCAGGGTTAGCACCGGCCCGCGAAACAGGGGGACAGCAGCCGCCACAGGCCTGCGCATGACTCGGGAGGGTTGGAATGGAGAGCCCGGGTGAGCCGTGGGTATGGGTAGCCTAGCGCGAGCTGTAGAGCCTAGAGGAGCTATAATTTAGCTATTAGGTCGGTCGAACGACGGAGGAACGTTTTGTCTGAGCCGCTGAGCAGCTTCATCATGATCAGTTGATCAGTTCGTGAAGTTACATATCAAGAGCATCCGACAGCCACAGAGGCTGAATGCATTTGGGAACGTCTTGGCTTGGAGCTTGACAGACGCGCCACTATGCCTGCACTTTACCATATAACTCAGTCTCTCTTCGAATGGCGATGAAGACATGCAAACGCTATCCCGACCTGCAATGAGGCTGACGCTCACTTCCAAGAGAGCAGCATCACCAATTTTCGCCGATTAGGTTCGAGAGCTCCGCTCTAACGGGGTCACCTCCAGCCGCTGAAAGGTCGACCCTGGGCCTCGGCATCATAGCCGGCCCTGGGAAGGCCCTAACGGCACCGGGCGGCCCCCGCGGCGCACTCAATTGGAGCGATGATGGATGGTGCGCCGGTGGAGCCTGCTGAACTGGGTCTGGGAACTGGGAGGACCACACTGGTGTGGCTAGCTCGAGAGGATGATCAACGCTTTATCCAGTCCGGGTGGAGAAACGGACTGCTTCCGAGTCGGGAAAACCGGGCGCTGAGCAAATAATAACTCAATTCATAACCAAATGTTCCAACGTTAACGCTACTGCCAACAATTTGTTGACATTGTTGCAGAGTTGTAGCTTACATCCCCCCCAAAATTGTTTCAAAAAAGCTAAAAGGGGGTGTACTCACATTTCAATTTATCAGCGTGTCATTCACGCCTAGATAAGGAACTCTGTGAATGTGGTTCATCCGGGTAGGCAACACTGACCACCACCCTAGTGCGAAATAAATGATCACCTCTTATGCAATAGCTAAATAAATATGGCCGGCCGACCCTTTGAAGGGCCGCTCGGCAGTCTCGGTCGCCGGAGTGTTTATCTGCCGTGACCGCTCGGGCCGGCTCTGTGCCGGCGAGTGCGTGCTGCAGTGGCAGAGGTCTGTTTATCCCGGGTATCGTGTGCGACCTTCCGGCGGATACGCGGCCGAGTGCAGGGCGCGGCTATCGGGTGTCAGTGACACGCTACATGACCCGGCTATCTCGGATAGCGGCAGCGGCCCACCCACCTGTAGTAGTCCTCCTTGCAGTAGATGTTGCCGTCTCGTGTGAAACACGTCAGGTCGCCGTCCAGCGGCAGCTTGCACTCGTAGCACTTGAGGCAGGCGCTGTGCCACGGCTGATCGACGGCCAGCAGGTAGAACCTGTCGGCAATCTGGCCGCGACAGCCGGCGCAGTGTCGGGCCGCGCCGGCCGTCTCCGTCGCCGTCTCCCGGAGGAGACCGGGCCGGGCGGCGTCCGGCCCGGTCTCTGCGCCGCCCACAGCCAGCCTGGGCACTGCAGGTCACTGCAGGTCACCGACGCGCTCACTGCCGGTCACTCCTAGTTGACGCTGTTCACTGAAGATCAATGCGGGCCGCTGCGAGTCGCTGCGGACCACTACTGATCACCGTTGTTCACTGCGAGTCACCACTAGTCTCCGCTTGTCACTGCCAGTCACTACAGTCACCGCCGGTTCACTGCGGTCACCACAGTCACCACAGTCACTCAGACGAACCGCGTCACCGCCCAGTCCTTGTCCCACCACGCGCACGCACACAACAGACAGGTTCTGGGGCGCGGGCTCGGCTGGCCGGCCTCGGCCAACTGGTCCGGCAGGTCTGCCGCTGGTCGCTGGTCGCAGGGCGCTGGGCGCTGGGCGCCCGCTGGTCTAGTCGCTGCTCACACCGCTCGGGAAACCTCTTGAGGTGCGATTGCAACGGTGCGGGATAATTTCTGACAGCTTTGACTCCTCTGGCTGTTCTGTTGTTCTGGCTGCCTGCTGCTGGTCTCTGGTCCTCTCTCGTATCCAAGGGCCTCCTCTGGTGTCTTCAAGTCTCTGCTGGCTCCTCTGGTCTCGGCTGGTCCCTGGTCCGCGCCGGTCGGTCCGGTCGCGTGGGAGCCGCCCCGCTGTCGGCCTATCTGCTCCGTGGATCGACCTGGAGCGGACGACGTCTCTGGTAATCACTGGAGCCGATCACTGCCACCGGCTCGGCCGTATCGGACGCAGTGAACACGGGGACACGCGGATACAGGGACACGGTGGATACATGGACACACGGACACAGGGACACAGAGACACTGCCACCGGCCCGGCCGTATCGGACACGGTGGACACAGGACACGGACACAGGGACACGGAGAGACTGGATACAGGGACACACTGCCACCGGGTCCGGCCGTACCGGGAGCCGGCGGCGGACACACGGACACAGCGGATACGGGAATACGGGGCACTTGGACAGATGGACACAGGAATAGGGAGAAACGGGGACACAAGGGGCACAGGGAAACAAGGATACACGGGGATACGGCAGACACGGTGAGAGCGGACACGGGGGACACACGAGATAGAGGGCGAACTGACACGGTGATATCGGACACACAAACGCAGGGACACAAGGACATGACAAGAGGGGGCTTTAGGACACACGGGGCGGGAGCACACAAGAGCGGACGCAGGGACACATGGACACACTGACAGAAGAGCATGGCGAGAGACGACACATGGATGCTCGGGCACGGCTGTTATGGACACATCGGCATGAGAGGAACGGACATACGGGCACAGCACGTGCAAACGGTCGGACACAACACGTGTGGATAAACAGACACGAAGTCACTGATACGGCAAATACGGACCCACGTGATAAAGCATGATGACGATGAGGCCAGGGATAACGTGTGCAGCTCAAATATGAAATACGGACACACTGTGAAGAAGCAGGGGCAGAACGGCAGGGTGGCACACATAATCGTGTGGTGATGCTGTCTGGTGGGTCCAGCGGGATACGCAATAGTATGAGATGCCTGAGGGTGGAGGGCAGAGCTTAGGGCAGCTATGGTCTCAGGGTAGGCTTGCCGGTCAAGGACGCTCACATGCCCTCTCACAAGGGGGCCCACAGCCACATATCTACACATGCAAGCCCGGCACTAGCGCGCAAAGGTGACTCTCAAACCTGTTTGGAAGATACACAGCTGATTTCAGCCCCACCAGCACGTTCACGGTCACACAGCAGATCACGTGGTTTGCGGAGCCCTCCACTGAGCCGCAGCGGCCCCCTTGCTGCCACGCTGGGTCGGTGGTGACGTCGCAACTCACCAGACCGTGCAGTGTCACCGCGCTGCGCCCGCCGCCGCCACGCTTCCAGCTCGTCTCGCGGGCCGACCGCCGCCACCGCCGGGCGGGGCCGATGGCCGGTCCCAGCTGATAGCCCCGCCCCCGACGGACGGCCGCCGCGCCGCAGCCAATCACAGCTCGCCGCGACGCCGCCCGGAGAGCTGATTGGTGGAGACGGCCGGCGGAGGCAAGACGCGCTGACGGCGGCGGCGGCGACTGCAGCCATCGAGCGGGCTGCGCCGGCGGCCGGCGGCCGCGCCGCCGCCGGCCGCCGCTCCGAGTCTTTATCTCGACGGCAGCGGTCAGAGCCGAGCCGAGGGCCGGACTGTGATGTCGTGATAGGCCCCCGCGGCCCCTGTCCCCACACAGGCTATCGCCGGCCGGCCGGCCGCAATAAAAATGACCGTTTTGTCACCAGTCTGTATCGATCGGCGATCTAACCGCCTGCATGACGGCTTTCCCATGACGGCAGTTATCGGTGGCTGGATTTTTAGCGACTGTAAATTCGCTTTGACACTTGGCGGTGGTAAAAGTGTCGGCGCTGTTTTGAACACTGTCGGCGGAGAACGGGCTGTCGGCGGCAGGGGTGGGCTGTCAGTGAGACGTGTCCGGAGCGTGCCGACAGGTTCGACATGTCTCCTGCAATGCGTTCCCTAATCCAGGGGATTTTCTCAGGCAGTCTTTCCATGTCACTCAGAGTTACAGCCTACAGGTCCTGCTCAGCAGGCTAGACCGTGCTGTTTAGTGCTTATGTTATGGATGTCTGGGCTGCGGTGGATTGTGCAGTTTGCAATATCCATTCGTATCATAAAGATCCACCAAAAGTAAACAGAACCATCCCTTTTACTCTAGTCTTTAGATCATAAAAAATAGCACACGATAGATATCAAATCCGCACGGCAGCACTTGTAAGAAAATAGTGGGGTATCCCATAAGATCCTTGCAAAATGATTGGATAATTCACCTTATTATCGACAGCACTGATGTTGTCGTTTGAAGATAGAAGACACTCGACAGTGGACAGTGACATATGGCAGCAATAACAGTGCCATTACCAACAATTTCCCTCTCATCAGCCCAGACGACAGATATCTAAGAAGCTGCAGTGAGTGCAGACCCGTGACTTGCTTTTACTATAAGTACTTGGTAGTTGAATTTATAATGTCTTCTATGCTCTCAATCCGCAATGTCCATCAAGACAGCCCAGGTTCAGCAATCCGCATGATTCTAACACGTATTTAACTTCATAAGTGCAATGTAACTTCATAAGTGCAAAATAAGTGCAATAACTTCTCTTGTCACTCTAAATCGTTTTCTCGTTTATTTCAACTTAATCATTTAATCATTTAATTCAATTTCATCATCTAAAAATCGTCTTCCTGTCAATAGCTAGATCCTAGAAGAGCGTGACGCGACATTTTCGACCAGAGGTCGATTCGGAATAATCAAAGTTCCGTTATCCCACGAAGCGACCATCTTTGCAAGAGGACATTGTATATCACGTGATGCCGCACAGTCGTAGTTACAGATGTAGGTCATCGACATTGTACAAGGACAGGAACAAGAAACTCATCTACGCTTGTATTTATGATTGCAAACATTACTCGCAGCCAGATATAGAGACGTCTCGCAGGGGCAGGGGATAACTTGTTGACTGTTGAGTATCAGCGGGTGGGGACACAGTGAATCGGTGGTGAAGGGGACACGGAGAATTTCAGTCTTCTCAGACAGCTCCTATTCTGTGTGTAGTGCATGGTACGCTCAAAGGGATTTAAATCTGCAAATAAGGCCGCTGTTCATGTGTGATCATTTGGGCCCTATGGAAAACTTCGTCCTAAAATGTAACGAGCATTGTCACTTTCAGTAATGGCATAAATATTTAAAAACAACAGCTAATCTCATCACAGTAAATCGGTATTGCATAACAGCATGACGTATCGCAAGTTCGTTTGGTCTATCATGGATTGACTTCCGAAACTGGACAAGGCGTTTTCCTCTCTCACTAACACATACCAGCGCATGAGACTGAACAGATCTTACAATAATCCTGCAGGTGCAATAAGCCGTCCCATATGGTGATAATGCTGCTGCAAGCCACTCTCCACAGACTTTGAGGAACACTCGTGTTCTTAGTGTACAATCTAACACCTATTGTGTCGACTGACGACCCAAACCACAAAACCGGCAGCAAATAAGCGTCGCTGTCAGCACTCAAGGATAGAAATCTGTGTTTGCCACCCATGCAGCCAGATTTGTGGACCACCCACTTCGGTAGACATCTTTTTCGTAAATAAATCCTCTAATCATGTTATTTATCCTCTCACACCATAAGTGTTTCTAACTAGTAAGTAGTGACTAGCCTCATTTCTAAGCTGACTTTATCTCACAGGTAGCTAGCTATCCCTGGCTAAAGAGCACTTACTAATTAAATGTAACCATGATTGCGTTAGCCAACATTTGTTGCCTTTCTTGTCATCCTCATTTGCCCTACTCCTCCGTTCGTCCTGGGTTCCCCACTTCCCCAATTAACTATTTATGCGATACGAAAATACATTGAATACGGTGTGCTCTTCTCAAAACTGCCTACCAACAGTAAATCCTTCCAAATTGACCGCTGCAGTGGTTCCACGCTGTTGATTGACGATCTAAGGGATATAAATCCCTACGGCAGCGCCAAACTGGCCGATAACAAATAATGTGGCGCCGATAAATACGCGGTTCGGACAATATCGACAGCGGTCCAGGCCCAGACGCATCGATTGCTAGCTCCGCCTCCACCCATCCCTCCCTGCACACATCTTCCATCCCCCCCCCCCGACCCAACATCGCCCTCTCCGACCCCGTACCGTCACTCAGGCCACTTGGGTTCCTACTCACCCCGATAAGTACGAACATGCACACACGGACAAAAGGAATTGATTTACATGGTGAGCTACGGTAGCGACAGGTGGAAAAAGTGTCGGAATCGCGGGGCGGTGCTTTGTTTTGCAGGGGGACATCGCGGAGGGGACGTCTGATTAACCCCGTCCCTAAGCCCTTATGAAACATGGCAAAGAATGTTTCGTTGGGTCGGCATGCTCGCTGCTCACGCCTAAAAAGATGGCGAACTGGTGGGTTTGCATTGTGTTTGCTCTAGATATCAACGCTGAACAATGCCTGCATTTATGTTCACTAACAACGCAAACTCACATGCCTACTACATTTGATATTTGATTTGGTTGTTCATCATAACACAAATACTGAATCTGGCGTTTACGTTTCCTCTTTCGACAGCAACGATAACACAATCATAAAAAATACATTCGGCGACAGATTCCATCCGTCACTCAAAACCGTTCCAGTCCAAATGGAGATGTTCGGTATTTTCCTCTATCACACTTGGCTCTCTGTAAATACGGGCTAAAATTAGTGCAACGAAGCCCGGGAGGACTTCCCCTCCCCTCCCCTTTCCTTTCAGTCTGCCAGGCTGCCGAGGGTCCTGCCGTCCGCTCCATAAGTGAATTAAAATAACACCCCCTGTCAGTTCTCACGCCGATCCTGGTTGTGACATACGGCGGTTTGAAGCTGCAAGTGAGTGGCGAGCTATACCGTTGGGCGTAAACAATTTGTATGGCAGAATGCGAATTGTGAATAAAATCATAGACACTGAACAGCAGCCTGTTGCATTGGAGGCCATGATAAGTTATCACAAGGCCTAAAACCTAACGTATCAATCTCTCAATGAAGGCCACGTTTTATAAGATGATCCGATTGATCGTATGCATCGGTTGTTCCACATGCGTGTCCCATCCCCTCCCCAGCCAGCCTGGGGATGCAGGACCATCCAATGATCACTGGAATCAGGATCATCCTATGATCACTGGGATCGGACCGTTCCGGGATCACCATGATCGGAAATAGGAATCGTCCCGGGATGACCGCGTCGCGAGTCCCACCGAGCCCCCGTTTCGCCTCGCCGGCTCGGCTCACCGGACCACAATACCCCGGCAGGTGCGTCGTCGACCGCGTCGGTCGCGACGCTCGGCGCTCCGTCGGCGTCGACAGCAGATAACGAGCTGCGCCGCTGTGTTGCGTCGTTTCCATGGCAACCGCTGGGCACCTGTCGTCGGCTCCGGGCCGGCTCCGGCGGAGCGAGCCGCACCTGTGCCGTCGGCGAGCGGCTCCGGCTCCTGCCTCGGCCGACCGGCGCCGCTCTCTGCGTTAAATGACCACGTGCAAATACACGCCCGCTTAGTGTTTCTGACATGCAAATAGGGAGCGCTGACAGAATCGATGCGCTCTAGTGGGAGGACGGAGGGACGGCGTGGAGGGCTGGGACGGTTACGGCGGACGGTGGCCGGACAGTGGACACGTTCCCCTCCTAGTGACAGGCCATTGTCACCGTCAGAGAGACACGGTCGATGGTCGGGGAATATTACCGTGTACCGATATAGACACAGCTGTTCAATCACATCGGCGATTGTGTAATGAGCAAATGATGTCTAGAAGGTATAACGAATAATACATTTATAATTTCTGGCGAAATGATGCGTTACTGTAGTCTCAATTACGTAACCACAGTCTGTTTTTATCCAATTCAAAATGTGTGGAATTGCGGCTTACGTGCATGTGAATGGCAAATGAGCCGTGTTATACCTACCATAAAAACAGGCTCGCACAGGAAGCCAAGGTAAAAAGCAGAACACTTAGCGCATGGTACAGACTAAAAGTAAGTGCACAACAATGCCAGTTTAATTAGCATTTTTAGCACCACCAGCCTTTTATGGTTTTGTTTCCGGTCCATTGAAATTTGATTCAGCATTGCTGCAGAAAATATATAACTATGCTCACAAACTATGCGATTATTGCACGATAGCAACCATATTTTCATGAATCATGACATCATATTTTGACCTTTGTTCATTAGCATTTCAGTGCTGTTCAAATGATCTGTTGATTTTTTGTTGCATTTTCATGATTCATTTAAGCATTAATGAATGCTCAAGCCAAATGCGAAAATGAACAGCCATTAGCGCCCCGTTTAAGCTTTGGAAAGTTTGCACAATATTACT